TATTTACGGGGGTATTTTTATAGCTACTGCGGCTCATGTAACCTTGTGTAACCTAGGGAGTCTAAGGTTGCACAAGTCACATGTTACACAAGTCATGTATTACACAGGTCACGTGTTACACAAGTTGCACAATTAGATAAAATTTAGGTAACATTGCTAAGTTAATTATAGAATAAACAATAAATGCAGTAATTAGTTTGTGTAAATTAAATGAAAAATAGGTTGCCTAAAAAGGTTTGATTATGTATCTAGTATAGTCAGGTGTAAACAGATCGAAAATGCAGGTCCGAATGTTACACAAAAACGATTTTGATGGGGTAAACTAGAAAAGAACTTTTTAAGAATTAAAGAGTAGAAAAAGAGAGTTTTGATATTTTTGATACTAAAAAGATCAGTTTTAAGTCAAATTTGATATACTATAGCTTGTTTTGAAGCCAGAGATGAGCTCTACAAATTCAATTATGAGGTATCAATATGTTATTAAGCCCAGTTTGCCAGAAATGGCAAAACGTTGGGGAGAGGACAGAGTTTTGTCTGTCTGTCCTTGTAAATTGAATATCTCGAGAACGGTAAGAGATAGAGACTTAAATCTTTATAGATATATGTAAAAACAGTAGTTGAACAACTGTTATTAAGAGTCAAAAGGTTGTTAACTTAATAAAAGTTTGTGTAAATTGAGAAAAAGTAAAAAATATTTTGGACGAAATTTTGTGTACAAGTGATAAGCAGAAAGAGTTTATAAAAAAATTGAATAATTAACAATTTATTCAGTAACAAAAAGACTTAATATTAATAAAAGTATCAAATTTAAATTATTTTTATCAAATAAGTGTAAATAATCATCACAAAATAATTATTTAGGTTGAGAATCAGCAGAAGTAGCAGATGATCTATCTAATCTATCTGAATTAGCTAATGCTTCTTTAGCCAGGTCTGATACTTTGCAATTATTCCTAGTATGTTTATATGGAGGAGATGAAGTTTTGGATAAGGATGATGCTTTACATGAACGTGAAAATTTAGATGAAGATTGAACTTTAGATGAAGATGAAACCTTAAACAGAGACACAACCTTAGGTGGAGATATAGCTTTAGATGAAGATAAAACTTTAGATGAAGATGAAGCTTCAGATGAAGATACAGCCTTAGACAGAGATAAAGCTTTAGGTGAAGATAGAATTTTAGCTGAAGATGTGATTTTAGTTTGTTTTGAATTGTTATTTACTCTTTCAGCTATTGTTTGAGCAACACTGGTCATGTTTGTTTTATTTAGGTCTTTTGATTCTTATAGAGGTGTTATAGAGACAGCTGCACCAATTCTCTTTTTTTGACTACTATCCAGAAAAGATATAGATTTAATATAAACAAAATTAATATTATTATATAATATGAGTTCTCCATTAACATACAAAACTGAATCCTTCTTAATAATTTCAGTTATACGTATTAAATGCAGTGCAGATGCTGAGTAATAGCATTTCATAAAAATTTTTATTAAATCTTGATCTATATGATCATGCATAGTAATCAACATGGTAACATTATCACTAACAATTGGAGATTCTTCTACAACTGCAGTCATATTGATTAAAATTGGAAATTTTGAAAGATTGTCTGGTTTGATATTAAGATACACAAGAATATTCAAAACCATCTGTATTAAAAATAAACTTCCAAAAAATCATATATATTTTTAATTTTGAAATACAATAGTATTAATAAATTATTATATTTAGAAAATATATATTTTTTAATTTTTTAGTATAAATAAAGAAAATAATATATATACTATTTATTATATATTTTTATTATTAGATTAGTTTACCTTTAAAGTAGAAACTTTTTCATTTGTTTCATTAACATATTCTAGTCTAGGAATATACTATATTTAGTTATTGCAGATCACATCTTATTTGATAATGATTATCTATCAGTTTGTTCTAGATTCATTTTCAGATTATTCTACGTACTATAAGAAATTGTCAATAAAAAATTAAATATTAAAATAAGAGCAAATTACAGTAAGATCTTCCTAAGTACACCCCTCGGGACCATAGTCAAAAAAAAGCAAAATGTGCACTTAAAGAGATAGTGCATTTATAGAGAGCAAAATATATAATGCTCTTATAAGTTGGGGCCAAGTTATACCATGCATTTAGAGAGAATTTACATAGTGCATACACTTATAGAGCATGTACTTAGAGAGGTCTTACTGTACGTGAATTTACATTATATGGGGTGTTATCTATTAAAACAGGCCTTTTTTGCAATTTTTTGAAAAATTTGTTTTCATTAGATTTATATAAATTTTAATATGATCGATATTTTTCAATTATAAATAAAAGTTGATTTGCATAATAAAAAATCAAGATAATTGTAAAAGAAAAATTAAATGTAGCTGTGTAAGACCAACACATTATGAGATAACTTGATAATTAACTGTTATATTTAATCAATCAAAATCATGAAATTTAATTATTCTCGAATCAGTCTGAAAATCAAAACAAATGATTAAACTCAATATCTTATCTCAAAATAAAATAAATTTAAAAAAGGGCTGTTTTAATTGATAACACTCCATATAGAAATAAGTATAAGTATAAGTTTTAAGACTAAGCTATATCAGACAGAAATTTTATTATAGTTAATAGCATAACTAATACATTAACTAAAAATTATATAATTTAATAAAACTTAAAATTAATTAAATAAAATTCTATTCTGCTATTTTTACTCATCATATTTACTTAAAATTGTCTATTCCTTTATCACCAATTAGGACTACAACTTTATTATTTAGATCTGGCCAAGTTTACAGCCCTTTTTAACTTGGATAATTTAATTAAAATATTAGCCCACAAGTTAGAACATGTAATATTAACCAATATTCAACTAGAAATATAAAAAATTAACAGCAGAAATACTTAATCACCACTAAATTATTGTAACTAAAATTGTGTGATCTTTATTAATTTTTTTATAAAATAATTGTGATTTCTAATTGCAATTTACTATAAATTTGTTTGTGTGAGACCAACACATATTTAACTTTAGCAGTTACAATCACAATTACAATTATTTTATAAAGAAAATACAATAATTAAATCTTATGGGTTTGGGCCCTATAGCTTAGCGGTTAAGCTGCCAAACCTCCACAGACTAGGTCGACGGTTCAAGTCGGGCTGGAGACAAAATCTTAGGATTTTTAGCTTCTGTAACCCAATAGGGTGCCATAATTGAATGCAGAGCCCTGTGGTTAAGTCCAAGTACAAATACGAAACCGAAAAAGGAAATTCCCGGAAGGAGGTCCAATCGTGGAGTGGTGGCACTACGTATGACGGGTCATAGAAGGTTCTGTTACATGAAAGGTTGCGCATGTTAGTTCTTAATTAGGGGTGACCAGGACAGCACCAACATCCCCAGCGGTTGGGGTACTTGATTGGGAGAGTGACACGACAGTAACAAAACTGGAGTAGTGAGAAAAGTGGTGAACACAAGGACAACTTGTGGTAAAGGATTGGTCCATTCGAAGTTCAGAAGCACCTCTGGCCCCAAGCCACTTGGCCTATTAAAGAAGAAATCTGTGAAGACAGAGCGAGAAGGCTGAAACTCGGAATACGTGGTAAAAACTTGAAATGGCTGAATTCACCGGGCTGGTAGTACAATTGTACAAATCGGGCTTGTATACCAGAAATTGATAAGGAGCACCAAATACTGAAATTGGAAGTATTACAGACCACAAGCTGCAACTAGGTCTAGATCCCTAGAGCTCTGTAACCTAAAATGTCAGGGCACCAGAACACCATAGCTCAAACTATGGAAGAGAAGTAATACGAAACCCGCAATCTG